TGCACCTAAGAAGTTAGGGGATGAACAAAAATAAAAATGCTTTATGAGCTCTGTTTAAATACGCACATATTTTTGAGGCTTTTCCATCAACAATAACTAATAGATTATTTTTAGCCCTGTTGCTTATTAATATGGTGTGTTCATTAATGTGTTTTAAACCAGGTGCTAATGCCTACGATATTCTTAGTTACAATGTGATAGCAGCCAGGAGGCCTAGCCATAGACCAGGAGCTCATTGTACAAACATACTGTCTCTGCCCCAAATGGCTAACCATCTAGATGGGTAATAAATAAATTAATCATTTTCCAGATTCCCCTTGGAAATGTACCCAAGACGCTCAGAGAAAGACAGTCCCTGCCCTAAAGATTGTATAGTCTAAGGCCTTGTCTACAGTACGGGCTAAATCAACGCAGCTGCAATCTATTTAGCGGGTCTAGTGAAGACGCGCTAAATTGATGGGCGAGCATACTCCCGTCGACGTCTGTAATCCACCTCGACGAGTGGCAGAAGTTCTGTCACTGGGAGCGCGTCTCCCGTCGACATTGTGCAGTGTGGACACGGCTGTAAGTTGACCTACGGTACGTCAACTTAAGTTACGTTACGTAAGTTAACTAGTTCAACTTCGATTGACTTACAGCACTAGTGTAGACCAGGCCTAAGTCAGTGATATTCAGACCTGAGTGATTCAGGAGACAAATTAGCGATCAACATGACCCAAAAGACCCACAGTCATGTGAATTCATTGTTTCATTTCCTCCGGGGGTCGGCAACCTTTCAGAAGTACTGTGCCAACTCTTCATTTATTCACTCTAATTTAAGGTTTCGCGTGCCAGTCATACATTTTAACGTTTTTAGAAGGTCTCTTTCTATAAGTCTATAATATAGAACTAAACTATTGTTGTATGTAAAGTAAATAAGGTTTTAAAAATGTTTAAGAAGCTTCATTTAAAATTAAATTAAAATGCAGAGCCCCCGGACCGGTGGCCAGGACCCGGGTAGTGTGAGTGCCAGTGAAAATCAGCTCGCGTGCCGAGTTCGGCACACGTGCCATAGGTTGCCTACCCCTGATTTACTACAATATTATTCAGATTTAAACAGTAGGCCAGGGGAAAGATTTAGTTTGTATATCATTCTCACAGCAAATAAGTTAATAATTTGGTGCAAGTTAATAACTTACTTGGTTAATAAGATAATACAAAGCATTCTGATTGGTTAACAATTAAATCACACAGTGTTTTAAGATCATGTGCTGCAGGAAGACACATTAAAGAGCCATTTGTGGCTTGCCAGCTGCAGTTTGACTATCACTGGTCTAAATAGCCAAGGCAGATGGGGAGGGGGGAGTTACTCGCCCAAGGTCACTGGCAGAGCTAGAACAAGAACCCAGGTGTCCTGAACACCAGTTTCACACTTAAACGCTGCACCAGGCTGGGTCAAGTTGAGCAGGTGCTGACAAAAAACAGACCAAAGCTTGTGACTAAAAACAAACTCCCCTCTCAGTCGTTCAGGTTTCCCCTTCCTTATTACTGGTGACGTCATAACGCTGTTCTGGGGCTTTCAGGGAAACAAAACAAAACAGGCACAATAAGACCTAAATGCAGAATGGGGCTAGTGGTGAGAAAGCTCCTTGTGAATAGGGGGGGTGTGGTGTGGTGGGGGAGACGATAGAGAAATAGGAGAGACAGCAGCCACTGAGGCTGGTCGGGTACAGCTGGCTCCAAACCGGGAATCAGTTACTACCTGGTTCCTGGCCCAATTCAGCCCCTCTGGGTCCCATTCTCATCCCCTGACCCAGCTTGTGGGTGAATTTATGCAGGGACAGAGCCCCCACAATATTTCCAGTACACTGCACCCCTGTTTCACCACCCCATGCAGAGTAATCCCATGCCTATGAAAAAAATGAGGTTTAGATCCTTTATTGTGTGTAAAACCGTACTTTAAAAAATTCTTTGTATAGTCCCTTTAGCTATAGAGTTTGCTATGCAAGATCTCTGTAATAATGCAGTGTTTCACCAGTGATTTCCGCTCTACTCCGCGCTGATTAGGTCTCAGCTGGAGTACTGAGTCCAGTTCTGGGTGCCACATTTCAGGAAAGATGTGGACAAATTGGAGAAAGTCCAGAGAAGAGCAACAAAAACGATTAGAAGTCTAGAAAACATGACCTATGAGGGAAGATTGAAAAAAATTGTGTTTATTTAGTCAGGAGAAAAGAAGACCGAGAGGGGACATAATAACAGTTTTTAAGTACATAAAAGGTTGTTATAAGGAGGAGGGAGAAAAAGTGTCCTCAACCTCTGAGGACAGCACAAGAAGCAATGGACTTAATTTGCAGCAAGGAAGGTTTAGGTTGGACATTAGGAAAAACTTCCTAACTGGTTAAGCACTGGAATAAAATATCTAGGGAATTTGTGGAATCTCTGTCATTGGAGATTTTTAAGACCAGGTTAGACATACACGTGCTAGGGATGGTCTAGATAATACCTAGTCCTGCCATGAGTGCAGGGGACTGGACTAGATGACCTCTCGAGGTCCCTTCCAGTCCTACGATTCTATGGTTCCTACCTTGTACTCCTGGGCAGCCTCCTCGATGGGAACCACCGTGTGAGCTCGGTGCTCCTTGGATCTGTCACACACCACGCAGATGGGAGTTTGATCCTCCTCGCAGAAGAGTTTCAGAGTCTCCAGGTGTTTCTCACACACCCTCTCCCCTCGGGGCTCTTTGAACAGCCGTAGGCTGAGCTGTTTGGCCACCTCTGCCACGTTGGCCAGCTGCCTGTTTGGCTTGAGGTTTCTCCGGAGAAAGCTGCCCCTGCAGCAAGGGCAGGAGAGGTTGGTCTCCCATCCCCACAAGCACTGGGTGATGCAGGCTCGGCAGAAATTGTGCCCGCAGTCTATAATCATCACCGGGTCTTTAAAATAATCCAGGCAGATGGAACAAGTAGCTTCCTCCTGGAGCGTTTTGGCTGGATTCGCAGCAGCCATTGTACCCAGCAGCAGGGCAAAGGTGCACACAGAGTTGAGCTGCACTTATCTACTTCCTGAAGCTCAGGGATGGGTGGAGCTTCCATCAGCAATCAGCCCCCTTCCTGAAGTTGCAAGTTGTTTTGGCAGTTGTTGCAGCAGCAGCCACCCGGCCTGCTCAAGAGAACGGAGCCTACACGTCGGTGCGTTTCCCAACTTCTGGCCAGCCTACACGTTTTGCTCGTGGTGGGACTGATGGGTTCACGCCAGTTTGCACACACCTTGATGTATGCTAGCACAGTGACACCCCAGGCGTGTTTTGGTTTGCCCCAGTGCAGGGGCTCTCAACCTTTTCAGACGACTGGAGTCCGATTTGTCTTGGCTTCCCCCACGTTTCCCCTCACTCAAAACCGACTTCCTTACACAAGCAGACATAACAATACAAAAGTGGCACAGCACGCTAGTCCCGAAAAAGGGCTGACTTTCTCATTGTTCTCCTATCATGATAAAATAAATCCATTGGAATATAAATATTGTACTTATATGTTCAGTGTACAGTCTATAGAGCAGTATAAACAAGTCACTGTCCGTTTGAAATTTTAGTTTGTCCTGACTTCGCTAGTGCTTTTTATGCAGCCTGTTGTAAAACTAGGCAAATCTCTAGATGAGTTGATGTACCCCCTGGAAGATCTCTGTGTACCCCCGGCAGGACACATATCCCCGGTTGAGAACCCCTGCCCTAGTGTGGACGGCAAAGCAACCTCACAGGCAAATATTTATGTCCTGGGAGTAATAGTACTGGTGTTGGTCGTGGGGCTTGAGGAGCGTCTGTCTAGATGATAATATTGCCAACCCCAAAGGTTGAAAAATCATGACTCAACCCCCCCCCACCCTCCTGCAAAAATGTTGAGATTGGCCCCAAACCCATGAGATTAAAAAACAAAACAAAACAAAAACGGTGGGTTTTTTTTTTTGGTCTGTCTGATTTTTGAACTCCTTCCAGTATGTGTCAACTAATGTTGCCCCCTCTCCCAAATGTGTGACTTTGGTCTCTGCTGCAGGCAGTCCCCTCCCCATCTGAATATCCCCTGCCCAGCAGTTAACTCTCCCCCCCAATACCCAAATCAATCCTGTCCCCCCTCCCAGATCTGTCTGTCACCCAACCCCCGCATCTGTCCTTCCCTGTTGTCTGCCCCCATCAGCTCCTACCTGAATTCTGCCCTCAGATCTGCTGTCACCCAGCTCCCTCCATCAGTTCTGACTCCACATCTGGCCCTCATACCCTATATCCCCTTTGCAGCTCCCGGGGCCAGATGAGCAGTGAAAGAAGTGGATTCTCAGATATTCTGATCGCCATATTTGGGCCAGGAATGAATTTTCTTCCAGGGCAGATTGGCAGAGGCCCTGGGGGGTTTTCGCCTTCCTCTGCAACGTGGGACACGGGTCACTTGCTGGAAGATTCTCTGCACCTTGAAGTCTTTAAACTATGATTTGAGGACTTTAATGGCTCAGACACAGGTTTGATACAGGAGTGGGTGGGTGAGATTCTGTGACCTGCGTTGTTCAGGAGGTCAGACTAGACGATCAATAATGGTCCCCTCTGACCTTAAAGTCTATGACTCTATGATTCATAAGTGGATTTTCAGCCCTGGCGGAGCAGCTGTAGTGGGGTCCCCGTTCCCAGGCTGCGTGTTGCAGGGATGGAAAGGGGGCGGGGGCAAAGCAGAGAAGCCATCCCATTGTTCATAGTAGGGGAAAGGAAGAAAAATGAGGGAATGGATTTGCCTTGAGCTGCTGGGTAGAGCTGGGCAAAAAATCAATTTTTGGTTCAGTGGCCAACCCAGAAAAGAAAAGAAAAGAAAAGAAATTGTTGAGGGTTAACCTGAACTGACTGACTGCTTGGTTTTTTCCTCAGCAAATATTCCAAAGCCATCTCATTTTAAATGACAATCTTCTTGAACTAAAGAAAGAAAAAAAAATTCCAACCTGTGTTTGGCAGGCAAGGAGCTGGGAAAGGATTGAGAGGCAATGAAGAGAATAATGGGACTAAACGTTTATTGCAAAATCAGGGATATTTCTGCTAGTTACAGAAAAGCAGGAAGGACAAATAGGACACACTCCGAACAGAAATCCCCTCATTAACAGGCCTGGCACTGGGCTTTGTTTTATTCTGTGCATCTCACGGGACTTTCCCATTGACTCACTTCACATTTATTTCCTATTCCCATTATTGCTCGGGTAGTCCCCACCCGGGCCATTGGCTTGTTTGTTAACTTGAATAAAACAGGGATGGAGATGAGGAAGGACCAGCCCATGATGGGCCAGGAGCATCATTCTCAAATGCCTCATGTCTCGTTCCCTTTCTATCACAGAGCAGAGAGAAGAAACCATGTGTATGTCTACACAGCAACCAGGCACCCGTGGCTGGCCCATGCCAGCCAACTTGGGCTTGCGGGGCTCAGGCTATGGGGCTGTTTCACTGCTGTCTAGACTTCCAGGCTCGGGCTGGAGTCTGAGCTCTGAGACCCTCCTGTCTTGTGCCTGGCCCCAAGCTAGAGCACGGACGTCTATACCAATATTTTTAGTTCTACAGCCAGAGCCCCAAGAGCATGAATCAGCTGATCTGCGCTCTGGACTCTCTGCCATGGGTTTTTTATTGCCGTGTAGACGTTCCCTATGCTGCTCGGAGAGTCTCTGCGGAAGCACGACCAGAGACAAGAGTGAGTTTCACTTCCTCGAAACTATTTAAGTGCCTAAGTCCCGCTGAGAATCTGGGCCTAGGAGGTTAGGAAGAGGACAAGACTAAGTTCTGAGTGAACTAGGGAGTCTTCCAGGCTCATCAAAGCTAAAAACGAAGGGTAGAGCTGCACTGCATTTTGGAGCCCATGGGAGTGAGAGACTCAAGCTCATGGGGCTGGTGCTAACGCTCTGAACGGTGCTGTGCGGACGGAGCTTTGAAATTGTGGCTCAGGCTCTGAAGCCCTCCCCCTCCCCAGGCTTCAGACCTGAGCGGCAACTTCTATGCAGCACATTCTGGAGCCCTCACGCAAGCCCCGCTAGTCCGAGACTCTTGACCCGGGCTGGGATGACCCACAATGGGGCGTAGACATTCCTGGAGGGCTTGTCTCCATGCAACGCTGCACCTGTTTAACGAAAGCTGGGATTTAAGCCGCATGTAGCTAAACCCCTTCAAACGCCTGCATGGACCCTCTTAAATCAAGACAAATGATCCCTTTTAAGTCAATTAGGAGCAAGTTTAAGCGAAAGCCAGTCTTGCCAACCCCCCGTGTTCAAAAATGATGAGTCAGGGCTCCTCAAAAATCAAGAGATTTAAAAAAAAATCGTTGTAGCACCTATACATGGATCAGGACCCTGTTGTGCAAGGTGCTGTACAGACCCAGATTAGAAAATGACCCCTTGATGCAAAGAGCTTACAGTAATAAATGTGGGATATTTTAATTTGTTGGAGCCTTTAGGAGTCACATTTTCAATCTTTCCTCTGCAACTCGGAGGGCTGGAAATTTCTTCCAGGTATTGAATGAATCTTCTTATTCTGTTTGTGTTATTAATTGTTAATTAATTAATTACCATCATTATTATATTAATGGATTGATTTAATAAGAGCTCAGATCCTGATGGAATCACAAGAAAAAAACCCACCAAATATCATGACACTCACAAGAAAACCACATGCGCTGGCAATGCTTAAAATTGAGCCACGCTGCTTGTAAGCCAAATTAAGATCATCCAGACTGGTGTTTGCTCCAGGTTCAAATTAAATCAGACCCTGGTGCAAAGCCTGCATGTAGACAAGGCCGCAGAGGCTCGGGGGAGGCTGTGCAGGAAATGGCTAGAGAGAGGGGCACATTTCATGGGGGAGGGGGTCCCAGTGGGTTGTTTCCCCCTGTACCTCAGGGGATCAGTGTGAGGTGGACTCCTCCGCCCAAGTAGAAGAAAGGGAAAACTTTTTCCCCATTGAAGGAGGCCAATATCATAGTCGTATGGTCATCTTCATAAAATGCCACCCAATCCCCTTCGTAATCCAGACAAACCCCGATCTTCCCAGGCCTCCCACTATGAGGTTGGGGGGTCTCAGAGGAGCCGAATGCCTCCCTCCGAAGCCACCAGCGCCCTTGAGACCAGATCCCATTCTCGGGGCTAAGAGTGAGCCATTCCTTTCTCTTCACGGACTCTCTGGCGACCCCCACGGCCCACTCCCTCTGATCCCCAAACTCCACCTCCCAGTAATGTCTCCCTGAGGTGAACCCCTTGGAGCCCAGTACACAGGGAGCAAGATCAAATCTGTGGGGATTCTCAGGCAAGTCCTGTTGTGGTTTCTCTCCCGATCTCACAGATTTCCCATCGGCAGACACAATGAGCCAAGGGTTCGCGGTGTCAGGATCCAGAATCACATCCGCTGCGGGTGGGGAGAGAGAGAGAATCAGAGCATTAGATCTGGCTGTGTACAGCACATGGGGTCAGAAAGATCTACTGGGCTTCTCTCCCATAGACCATCCCTGGCAGTGCTCCAAGTATCTAGAGGTGAGTGAGTTCCGTGGGCATCTGGCCAACATTGCCAGCAACCAGTTTCATGCGTGCCTCATGTATCTAGGTTCAACAGCCACAGCATTTGGGGTGCTCACTACCTGCATCCCACCTGGGAGTGCCTGGGAACGGTCATCCTCCAGGAGACTCCTCAACCACCAGCGTACCTGGGAAAGGGCATCTGCTCCTGTAGCCCCTTAGTGGTGGGGCTGGTCAAAAGTCTTCCTTCCCCTGAAACTGTTCCAGTGGCAATTGTGGGGTTTGATGAAAGGAAAAGGTTCTACTTTCCTTGATTTTTTTTTTAATTGCTGTTTTTTCATTGAAAAACTATACACACATCCGTGCAAAAAACAGACCAAATTGATTATTTTTTCCGTTGTTGGCCAAAACTTCTTCCATTTTCACTCTCCCTTCACCTTCCCCCAGCCCAAAAATGTTGCTTTCCAAGTTGGTGGTTGTTTGCTTGCTTTAAAGAAAGGTCACATTTTTCAGGGCGGGGGCAAATTTTCCAATCATCTCTATTTAAAAGCATGGGGCTCTTCCCCTCTGCCCAAGGCCCCACCCCTCCTCTTCTGCCTCCCCTCACCCGCTGGAGCCCAGAGCGCGCACACACACACACACACACCCCGCCAGCCCCAGTCCACCGGCTTCAGGGAGGAGCATGGGCCATGCAAGACGGTTTGGGGAGGCTCAGCCTTCCCCAGTTTATGCTATCCACCACCCATGCAAAAGCTTCCTCGGTCGCTGGAGTGCACCAAGAAGCTCATCAGCACCTCCAGTGGCTGTGAGAAAGCATCACACCGGGGAGTGTGTTAGGCTCAGGGTTAGGATGGATGGATTACCTTTGAATTTCTCCAGAAGCTCACTTCTCTGAGGGAAAGCCTCACGGATGAATTTTGGATCAGAAGGAAGAGTCATCTCTGCCTGAAACTTCCCTTCTGACCGCTAGAGATAAAAAACAAACCAACCAACCAAACCCAGAGATGAATAATGCCTCTTCAGCTGATTGTTCAATCCTAACAGATATCAAAGGCTTTATCTTTTGTCTTTGCCTTGGTGTGCAAATGTGGCAGGGTTGGCGTAAGCTTGAGTGTGACGGGGGATGCCGTCAGGAGAGCAATTAGTAAGGGTGAGACAAGGGGTTGCAGAGGAAGATACAGGGAGGAACGTGAGCGTGGTCAAGTTCAGGCTGAATATTGGACAACTTCTAGATCATGAGACGGGAGAGTATCAGGCTGTGGAATCATCTCCCAAGAGAACTGCCAGGATTGGGTGCTCCATCACTTTGGAGCAAACGTGGGCAAACTACGGCCCCTGAGCTTCCGGCCGGGGAGCCTAGTCCCCGGCCCCTCCCCTACTGTGCTCCCTTCCCCGCAGCCTCAGTGCACCGCGCCGCCAGCGCTCTGGCCTGCCGCTCCCGCTGGGCAGTGTGGGGAGCACAGCTGGCTCTGGCCGCGTGTGGCAGCTGCAAGCTCCTGCTGCTGGTAAGGGGTTGGGGGGGTTGGGTAAGGGAGCGGGGGGTCCTGGGGAGCAGTCAGGAAGGAGGGGGTGGTTGGATGGGGCAGAGGTTCTGAGGGGGCGGTCAGGGGAGGGGAACTCGGAGGGTTGGGAGTGGGAGTACT